ACATTTCTTCGGTTTAGGATGAATGGGTGGAACATATCTTGGTGGTGTTTCATGTCGATTGTGTGATAGGAATGATGATGTGATAGAAGCATGATGATTTTCAGGTGTGATTCTATTTTCAAAACTGGGTATCCCTGCTTCCAGAATTTTAATTTCCTTATAAATGGATTCTCTTAATTGAGAGAATGTCCATTCCGGGTTACTGTGTTCTCGAGCTAAGTTTCGTCTAAGATTATTGGGTAATTTGCCAAGGATTATGGGGACGAGAAGATCTCCATATGATTCCTGAGATTTACCAAGGGAAGCAAGACCCCTTACATGGGTTTCCATAGAATCATAGAATTGCTGTAGGTTAGTTAGGTCATTGGATGGGTTGGGTAAGTTCAATAGAGCTTGCGTGTGATTATTAATAATCTTTTGGGGTTTTCCAAATCTAGTTTTGAGAAGGTCTACAGCTTGTTTATAGTTGTTGTTGGTAAGTGGGAATCCAGCTATAGCTCTGGCAGCATCTCCAGATAATTGGGCTCTTAGATAGTTAAATTTTTGTACCCCTTCAAGATTCGGATTTGAATTTACAGCTACATTAAATGAGTCCCAAAATGTGTTCCAAGTCAAGGAATTTCCAAAAAAAGGTCGGTAAGTTTAATTTGGCTAAACGACTCACATGATTTGGGGTTGGGGTGAGGTGTGGTTGAGATGTTGGTGATACTGGGTTGGATTGATAGTTCATTGGGAGACTACCAGTATTAGTGCTTGTATTCACTGAACTAACACCTTCGGATTCGTTAACAGTGACTGATTGTTCTTGGTTTAATGGTGGGGTTTGCAATGGATTTACTTCTTGTTGTGGAGATGTAATAACTTGGGGTGCATTAACTTGTGAGATTACTGGATTCTTAACAGTATTACAAGACAAAACAAAGGCACTTATCTGAGCACTTTTCTCGTTGATTTCACATTCAATATCCTCTGCTTCCATGATTTCTTGTTCGAGTTCGTCGGGATCTTTGACCACAGTTAAGAGTTTTTCGTTCAGTTCGTTCAATACGGTTCTTTTCCTTGCGAGTTGTTCAATAGTAGCGTTTGGGGCTTCGTCATTCTCCATAATTGTTGTAGCCTTGTTTAAAACCTTTGTCAAATGAGCTCTGTGTCTCTTTCGTGAGCGCTGAATTCTTTGAGTTTCTTCCATCCTGGTCACGGCACCAATAAATGTCGTAAAAGACGAGGACCAGGTTTGTTTGGTTGAATAATATTGAATAAAACTATTACAAAGCGTTGTGTTTACGAGTTTCCATCAAAAAACAATCTCGTACCCAGAGCAATGCCGCGCCGGCTAGGAAAGCATTGGCTCTGGGGAAATTGACAACCGGAACCCCTAAATTTAGGGGTTCCGGTTCTTTGTCGGCATGCACGATTGATAAACGTTAAACCAATCACAGCACAGGAAAAATTCAATTTCCCCAGAGCCAATGTCATCCTAGCCCGCGTACAGGCATTGCTCTGGGTACGAGATTGATCAAAAGCTGTATCAAAGTGCGCCAAAAACTGTCATGTGACCGAGGCACAGCTAACCCAAAACTAAAGCTTAGAAATATGAATGTTAATGATCTACTTTAAAGATAAAGATAGGTTTAAAGTTAGTAATCTAATCTAGCGTTACTCAACACAATAGCCATATTGTTCAAGACGAGAGAAAGCAAATTTCGTGTGAATCACCACTTGCATGGAGACGCCTAGATGCAGCTTGGAATCCTTGGATGCAGGTTTGCCTGTGGTTGAAAATCTCCAGAAATATCGGTATATCTTAGAAAACATAGACGGTGTCTCAGAGATTTCAGCTGATTCGTGCGAAACTTCGCTACACATAAGTAATATCGATTGAGAAGCGTTTTCGCTGTTTATTTGTTTCGAAGACTTGTATATTTCATTATTAAAAGAATATCTCGCCACTCCTTGACGAGTAGCTGTCATATACTTCCATTTTTTGGGTAGTCACGTGACCGGCCCAGAGTTAGGTTAAAGTTAGGGTTGCGGTTAGGGTTAGGGGTTAGAGTAGGGGTAGGGTTTGGGTTAGTTACATAGCCATTTAACACCCTTCCATCTTCTGAAAATGACGTTACGTCAATTTCACAGATGGAAACTAGTGCTAACCATCTCGTCTCCCTCTCGTCCTCACAAAAAAGCCCTGGGAACGAGGTTGAGGTCTTTATTATAAAATCGTATACATACGAAGTACCAAAACATGCAGGCTTTCGTCTCGGCTTTCGCGCTCGTTTTGCAAGCATGACAGTCGAAATTCGCTGTGAATTGAGCTTATAGTCTAGGACCTGTATATGAGTTTGTATGTGATTCATTTAGGACAGGTAATCTCAACTGTTTTAGGGTAAAATGACCATGGCGGTCAACATGGCATATGTGCAAAAACCTGAATCCGGGGCGAAAATCCTGAAAATGACCCCGCCCTGAAACGTCAGTGTCGACATAGCTCTAACTTCCGAAAAGGAAAAGTGATAGCCTTTCTGAAGTGCTTATAGTGTTTAGAAGGGTTGCTTTTAGGGGTGGTCATTGGAAGGAAAAATTTGTCTAAGTATAATATTTTACCAGAAAATGACTATGCACCACCCCAGGTAAATTGCTGATTATGCACAAAATAACTTATATGCCAGGCAGAAATTAAATTTTCTTATTTCCTAAAAAAATTATCATGGGATGAAAAACTATACTTAGTTCAATATAATTATTGTGGATTTCATAAGGATTGTCATTGTTTTCTTTTAATATAATACATTTTATTTCACTTACCCCCCACGAAAACACGATTTCAGCCATACTTTGCCGTCTTGTTTGTTTTTATCGCCGAGTCTCGCAAATATCATCCAGTTGTTGTACTTTTACATTATCATAAATGGCTAAAGAATATTTCAACCAAGTTTCATCAAGTTGTGAGACAGTGCAGTGTATTTTATCTTCGATATTGTGTCCCTCGATATTTCGTCAAATTGCCGCCATTTTAATGGCTCGCCGCTTCTCTGTCCGATAAATGCCACTTCTTCGTTTTTCATATGTATTTAATTATGGGAACCACTCAGTATTTTAAAAAAATACAAAATAACAGTAACTCCGAATAACATTTTGATTTTTAATCGACGTTTCGACTAGTTTGTAGTCATCCTCAGGATTAAGAATAGTGTAAAATTACAGATGCTGCTATTATAAAGCCAAGAAAGGCGGAGCTTAATCGGTCAATGAAATATGATAAGTTCTTTGGAAGCTTTCGCACCGTGGTTAAGATCAGGTTTTCGTCTGCGTATAGCAAGAGACTCCTTGAATAACAACAGAGACCAGTGGTCTGACCTATCAATTATTTTACAGTTCCTAAATATTAGTTCAGTTAAATTAGTGTTTATAGGATTAGTTGAGTCAGGTGAAAGTTCCATAAGGGATTTGATGTGCTGGAAATGTTCACATGCTGGAAATGTTCACATGTTATTCGAAGTTACTGTTATTTTGTATATGTATTTAGATTACATTATCCAAGAGTACTTCATTGTAGAATAGTCCCAATCGAAAAATTGACAACATTTGTCCCTTTTGGAAGGAAAACCCCTCCGGTATACCATTTAGGTTCAAAATAAAAAACAAATCATTTGAAAGTCACGCGCAATCTTCGCGAAAACTTCTCGTGGACACATGACAGGGGGTTTGTGTGAATATTTTCACGAAACGTTTGTTCGCCACCACAGAAACATAACTAAATATATTGTATTTATTGTATTTTTATGATTTTTGATAAAACAATAAATATTTGCGTAGTTTTGTCATAAATCATAAAAATACAATAAATACAATATATTTCGTTATGTTTCTGTGGTGGCGAACAAACGTTTCGTGAAAATATTCACCCCCCCCCCCCT